GTTTGAATTCTGAATATGAGCGACTTTTCCTTTAAGAATGGGCCTTAAAATCGGTTAACAGGAACATGTCTGCTGTTTCTAGACCTGCAGCATCGCTGGTCTCACCAGTTCTTTTAAATGTTTGGTAATTTATAGAGTATTTTACTCTGGCCAGGGTGAGCAGTGGGATGAAGAGCGTGTCTGCCGCAGCAGATGTCTTGCCATTGCATCCTTATCTTTCCTCCACCCATTTGCTTTGAGAGGAGGAACTCGCTCCAGTGTAGATTAATCAGACGGATTTAATTAACTTGGCCACCGCACACATCAAACTGAGATACAAGACAGGCTATAAACTCAGCCAATTATCTCCTGCTAGACTGGGGGGGGGGACTCGTCTCCACCCCTCCACCAACCATCTACCTGTGAACAACAGCAGATCTTATTACCACAGCTGCCCCTGTCCTCACCCTGACTTTACTCAGCGGGATGCGGCGCGGCGGCGACTGGCTGGTTTGTTTGATTACAGGAGGAATGAACTTCATCCTGCTTCCTGCTGCAGTCCTCCTCTGTTTATTTAAAGGTTGCTGAGAGTGAAATGCTTCCCGGTGTTATGTTCAAACATAGTGTGCATTAATCAGAACGAACCTCCTGGTTGGACACTACATGCCTTTAACCCCTCGCCTCCCGGTCTGATCATGGTCTGTCACAACCAGCTTCAAGGACATCGTTTATATCTTTTGCCTTTCTCCAGAAAACAGTCGTACCAATCAAAATATGCCTCTTATTATCATAGAAAACCAACAGGTATGTGTTTTTGTGATGCCATGAAAATATTTTCTTTCCATTAAAATCAGCTCACTGATCTTATCTGCTTGCTTTTAAAGCTAACGTACGGCTCCACACCTCTGGGCCTGCTCTCCCATTCAAAACTCCAATACATGCAGACAAAAAATCAATTAGTTTAAATATTCATGTGCTAATGAAGTCGACCTCGATGGAGGCTTTTAAAATATAATTAACCTGACTCCCTAGGAACAGGTCATATGTTCATAATAACATAAGCTGGAAATAAACCTCATGCTGGATAGATGATGATGACTGAAGCAGCGGTTTTATTACATCAGGCTGGTTGAGTTATTATATGTTCATTATAAACAGGCTCTTCATTTTAATGTCAACATATCACATCCAGGGGAAATACAGTCATGAGAAGTTAAGATGAAACAAAATACTAATTTAACAGAACAGGAAAAGATTTGCTGCGAAAAACTGGTGACCTGTTCAGGGTGACCCCGACCCTGACCTATAGAATGCTGGAGATGGATGGATGACGATGATGATGATGATGATGATGTTGATGATGATGAGGAT